AATTTACTAATCATGGAGGATGGATGGAGGTAGGTATCATGGACTTACCAGGTCAAACCAAGGCATGGGTGGAGGCTGGGTTGCTGAATGCCACAAACAGACTGACCATAAGGAAGTGGTGTCAAGCAGGCCAGGCAGCTGTGCTAGTCCAGATGTACTAGGAGTCTTGTTTGTCTCTTAATAAAGATGTCCATTAAGCCATCTCTACCTCCGCAGAGACACTGGAAGCATAAGGTTCACAGCCCCACCAGGAAGTCACAGCTCCTGCCTAGCCAGCTATGCCTGCTAAGGGTCTGCCTTGGGCCAGAAGAATGCATTGGGTCCCTTGCTTCTCTCTCTTGCTAACTGCCACACTAATCTCTCTAGAAGCGTATAGAGACCAGAGCTTTTCCCCTTTGTTTTCTTTAGGCTTGCAGTCTCAGCTCAGAATTTGATAGTTGTTGTCACCTCTCCTTATGGTGAGGAGATCCCACAAGTGACGTGTTTATAAAGAACTTCCTAAGTCAAGGAGCCACTGACCCAGCCTGCCCTGTTCACACACACTGTCCCACGGACATGCACCCTTCACCCACAATGACCATAAAGGCCCCAAGCTAAAACTGCATTGGTCACATGGGTAGTTGGAGAAGCCAGCCAGCATGATACTAGGAAGGGTTTGAATAGAGTACACTGTTTTTCATAATCAAGTCTTTCCTGGAGAAATCAGAGTCCTAGACTGTAGAACTGTAGTCCAGAACCTATAGTTCTCCAATTTTTTGATTAATTGTGTGAGTCTTTGGTTACGTACGTCCCCCACTGGATTGTAAACTCCATGAAAACTTTTGTTCATCCCTGAACCCCAGCACCTGGCCTACCACAGCAGGACTGATAAATACTTCCTGACAGTAAGTGTTGAAAGAGGAGGAGAGAGGGAGGAAGGAAGAGATAAAGGGAGGGAGGAAGAGAGGACAAAAGGAAGAAATTTCTCTGGAGTTGAGGTGGGTGAGGGCCAGGCCGGGTCCACAAGGAACTCACAGCCCAGTCGGGGGTGAGAGGGAGACGGGCAGTCAGGTGCCGAGCTTCAGGGTGGTCAGTGCAGGCATAAAGGAGAACCAGTGTGATGGCAGAAGGTCAGACAGGGTGTGGTTCTGTCTTGGGAGAGTTGGGACATCTCCCATTGCTGGATCTCAAAGGCTGAGCAGGAGTCAAAGAGGGGAAAAGAGGAAAGTCATTCTGGGCAGGACTAGCACAGCGGAAGGCTCAGAGATGTCACATGCAGCCAGGGCTAGGGACCTTGAGCGGCATGAGAGATATGGGTCTGGGAGGTGGCTGAACAGTGGGGAGCTGAGGAGCTGGGCACGAACAGCTAAGGTTTTTAAGCAGGCATGTCACGTGTCCAGCCGCTAACCGTGAAAGGGGATCTGAAGCTCTGCAGGCTGGCATTTCCATCACTAGAAACAGAAACCAGCCAGGCCTGGTGGCACACGCCTGTCATCCTACCACTCAGGTGGCTGAGGCAGGAAGGTCGCTGTGAGTTCAAGGCCAGCCTGCACTAAATAGTGAGATCCCACCTCAAAAAAGAAAAAAAAGAAAGAAAGAAAGAAAAAAATCATTTAGTCTGAGGACCCTGAAGCCCCTGCAGAGAATGGTTCTCCGGCCCGATGAGCTAGTCCTGCCCAGAATGACTTTCCTCTTTTCCTGTCTTTGACTCCTGCTCAGCCTTTAAGATCCAGCCATGGGAGATGTCCCAACTCTCCCAAGACAGAACCACACCCTGTCTGACCTTCTGCCGTCACGCTGGGCTAGTCCACAGCAATGGTGCGGAGATTCAAGAGCTCCTGTTCCCCTCTCTCAGGGTGTCAGCTCCTGATGGCCGGAGCCGTGGAGGGCCGTTCCCCTCTGTCCCCCCAAATCTGTCTCCTCTCATCAGCAGGAATCCAGGGAAGCCCACCAGGGGACCTCACAGACACACATTCTTCCTCCCAAAGCACCCTCCAGCTGGGCAGCCCTTGCCCTCCATGGAGCACTTCAGGCAGAGATGGGAAACCACAAAAATGTTAAGCTGAGATGAAGGAACGTAATGGGCTCTAATCTGAACTGACAGCAGCATTATTAGCCAGCAAAGGGCCGCAGGAGCAGCGGGGACAGGGCGGGAGAGAAGGGGAGCGAGGAGGAGGAGGGATGAAGGACAAAGACACGCGGAGCAGACCTGCGCAGGGCAGGGCTTCCAAGTGGAGCCGCACGAGAGGGGCTGCCAGCGACGGCATCACCTGATCACAGCCATGGTGGTGACGATACTGGCAGCTGATGCTTGTTTAGAGAAGATGACGTACAAGGCACTGTTGGAAGCTCTTGGTTATCAAGCGCAATGCTCTTGATGCAGGTGTTAATACCACCATCCCCCTTTTACTGGTGGTGTAAGAATTCAGGCACAGGGAGGTCCATCAGTACAGAATCCCAATCCAGGCAGCAAGGCTGGGGGCTGGCTATTCCTGGAAGCTTCCTTTAGCTTTCTAGAAGGCAAAGGCCTCACTTAGAAGTCAATGAGATGCAATCTCAAGATAAATATAAAGAAGGGCCAGGGGCTATGCAGCAGGGGAGGAAGGACTGTTTGGAGCCCTGCCCATAAAGTTGGACGTCCTGACCACTGTTACCTGGCTGGTGCCCACCGATGCCAGGATAGATCTGGGAGGTAAAACACAAGTTTGACTATCTTCTGAGAAGGAAGACGATGGACATAATCACCAGCTCTTCCTGCTGGGTAAGGTGTTCATAGCTCAGAGGTCCTGATCCAAAAGAAGAGGATCCAAAGGGTGCCCTCTAAGGAAGTGACACCCTCCTACCCAGTCCTGCATTTACACATAGTCAGCTTCTGACCAGCTAGCCAGCCTGGAAACTGGATTTTCAGAACATCAGGGTTCAAAAACTAGGACACAGATCCATTCTAGGCGTGGTTCATAAGCTTGGGATGAGTCTGAATTAATGGTTCTCTTCCCACGGTGAGGAAAAGCCAGGCAGGCATGTCTCATCGTGAGACATAGGCAGGAAGTGGCTGAGAGGCTGCCTGGGGCGGAAGCCTGACAGTGTGACCTTGTGACGGTCCCTTAACCTTTCCATGCCTCATTTTCTCCTCTATAAAATGGGGGCAGTGATTGCAGGGCCTTGGTTCCACAGGGCGGCCGTGAGGACAGGGAGTCAATCCACACAGAACGTCTGGCGCATCACTGGCGCTCAGGAGCTTTGGTTCCCGTTGCTATGGATGCTGCACGGCCTGGGGCCTGCAAGAGGGAAGGGTTCCATCCCTTTCCGGGTTTCTTGGTCTGTGACGGGAGACGAACCCTCAGCCCCTCAGTGGTTGTTTGTGGCCTCACATTGGATGGGGCACGGTTTAGGAGAAGCATGGGCCCCCTAAACGGGACCCCCTGAGCTTCAGCTTTCTCTTCCTTCCTGCACCTAGCGCTTGCTTGGTGGAAAGTAAGAAGCCGAAGCCGAGTTGGGAGTTCCTGTCACCATGGGGCTCCCAGAGACCAGGAATCTATCACTGGAGTCAGAGGCAGCATTAGTGTTCGCTCTCCCTGGGCCCTGCGGGGCTGACGGATAGTAACAGCAACGGCCGCCGTGCACACAAGGCCCTTTCTCGGGATGCCCTCTAATCTCCCCAGCAGCCCTGCAAGGTTGAGTTCATCTCCTCCTCCCTTATTGCCCCCACCACACCCTCCACCCCACCGCTGTCCCCCTAAGCACCTCCAACTTTCCCTTTGTTAAAAATCATCATGTTTCATCTTCATTCGTCCTAGTTAGTTATCTGTTTGGGAGTGTGATACAGTCATGTGGCTCAGAATTCAAAAGCAATGACAAGGGACACCCTGAAGAATCCTCCTGCTTTCCCACCCGGGTTCCCCAGCCACTGAGTTTTCCTGCCCCAGGGAGCAGGTTGCCAACTTTGTCACTTTATCACACTGAGTGGTGATGCTTTGTGTATCTGTCTCTTGTCTTTCAAGAGTAGGGACCGTGCCTGCCTCATTACTACGTCATCCCTAGGGCACAGCACGGTGCCTGGCATGTGATAGGAGTGCTGCGTATGCTGTCTGTCTGTCTGTCTGTCTGTCTATCCATGTATCCATCCGAGAGACCTACTTAGAGAGATAGCTATATATAGTTTTGTTTTTTTTTAAATGAAGGTGGCTCCAAGAAGAAAGGTGACGTGCAGGCTTGGCTCTTTCTAACTCCCAAGGCCATGTTCACGGGGGACTGTTATCTACTAATGACCACCTGCCCCCTCTGTGGACATTTGACCTTCCTCTGTGAACTAAATTCTGATTTCATTTTTCAAGCGTAATTTTTTTAACTTTAAGAAAAATTTTATTAGTACATGCTTGCAGTCCATGCAGTTTACAGTCATGTTGGGGAGTGGGAACATGTATAGGCGACAGCTTGTTTCTTCTGTTAATCCCTTCCCCGTTTCTCCCCGGCTCCCTCCCTCCTTCTTTAATTCCCTTATCCCGATTTTCATTCTTGTTGGTATTCTTAACCTTAGCTCATGTCATGGCATCTACTGTGTATGCTCATTGAGGTTATGAGGTTCCTGTGGGTGGCATATCTCTTCATTCTGCTTACTGCCCCTTTCCCTCTCCCTTACCCCCCACCCTTGTTTCCTTGGACCCCTTCCCTATTGCAAGAGGACCTCCTCCTTGTCCCCTTCTTTTTTGTTTTTCTTCAGACAAGGTCTCACTAGGTAGCCCAGGCTGGTCTTGAACTCACAGCGATCCTCCTGCCTCAGTCTCCTGAGTGCCGGGATTACAGGGGTGCTCCGCCATGCTTGGCTCTAGCGTGATTTTAAGTGGGAACATAAGCAGTAGCTTTCATGAATCACCACAGAGAGAAGAGCTGTGGGCCAGGAAAGGGGGCATCTCCTCACAGAAAGTCCCCTTGTGTCTCCCAACCCTCACCCCGTTCCAACAGCACCCCAATGATGCAGTGATACGGGGAGCCCTACTGATCCATGCCCCCACTCCCCACAGGCCTCCCTCTACTCCTCTGGAAGATGGGAGGGGGCCTCCTCTGCCCTGATCTTCGATGTCTTCTCCCGTTCAACCCTCTCCCCGCCGGTGCTGCTCCGCCAGCGGTGGAACGAGGTGACAGCTGTGGAAGGATCTGGATGAAAGCTAATGCTCGATGCCAGTATAACCACTGCAGGTGAAGACAGCCAATCGGGCCACATCCCTCGTTCCGGCCCAGGCCCAGGGACAAGTGCACAGAGCTGCGGGTCCTCAGAAGAGCTGGAAGGACAGGCAGGGAAGGGCAGCTCATCCTCGGGGAAGGCAGAGCTGAGAGGCGGGAAGGCCCGTGTGTCTGCTTTGTCAGGGGCCGAGCGGGCTGCTTTCCAGGGGATCAGCTGGTTCCTCCTGTGCCAGCTCCAGGTCCAGGCTTCCCCGCAGCCTTATTCCTGGTGGTCAAGGCAGCCAGCGGTTTTGGGAGCCGTAAAAGGGAGGTGACAGGGAGTGAAGGGAAGGAAAGGGAGGGGAAAAAAGGGCAGGAGCCTGGGAAGTGAGGCGTCAGCGTGTCAGAAAGGGCCGAGGTGTCCGCTGCAGCAGGAAGCCTGCGATAGCCGGACCCTGCTGGAGAGGGAAATGGGGACGGGAGAGAACATGGACAGTGAGACTCACGAGGTGATTTATGCGTTTGTCTTTCCATTCATTCATCCAGTAACACAACGGAGATCAATACTGAGAGACAATTATTGCTAACCAAGGGGTAGGCAAGAGCATAAGGAAATGTAAAAGAGTGACCAAAAAGCTGTTTGGGTTGCACTATGGATATTGTAGGCATAGAACTGTGTTGAGTCCTAGCCCTGTCCTATACTTGCTGTGTGAGCTCAGGTGAGTTATCTAACCTCTCTGATCCCCAGTTTTCTCAGCAGGAAAGTAGGAATGATACCAACTTAGAGAGCTGTCTTTTTTTTGGGAACCGGGAATTGAACTCAGGACCTTGCGTTTGCCAGGCAGGCGCTTGTGCCACTGAGCTATATCCCTGGCCCTGGAGATCTGTCTTGACATTCAAACATAACAGTGCCCGAGAAAGGGACTTTGCCAAGTGCCTGGCACCTGTGTCCAATGTGCTGAAAGCAGCTTGTGTTGCTATTGTCCCTGGCAGCAGCAGCGAGTGAGTTCTTTTACCAAACCTCAGCCCTCTGTCTTCAGGCTAGAGAGGAGAACAGAGGCCATTCCCAGCATCCCCCATCCCTGGCCTCCAGCCCTTAGGGAAACATGAGAAGCAGAGTTTGAGGAGCTCATGTGTGCCCCCCACACCCCTTAATCCTTCCTGAACTTGGAGGTGGGGGTGGGGTGGGGGCGGCACCGCTGCCACACCTGCGCGCTCTGACATCTCCTGCCTCTGGGCAGAGAAAGCAATTTCAGAAATGACATGTTGCCAACAAGCAGAAATCAGCTTGTGAATTAAAATGTGTCCGCGTCAGGTGACCCCAGGCTTGGGGGCTGGCTGCACGAAGACAGCTGAGATTAGAGGCTGTCAGCTGCAGGAGGGGCCGTGCGGGAAGGGGCTGTGGACTAGCCCCGGTCCACAACTACCACTGCTCCCCAGGCCTTTGGCCACCCTGGGCTTGTTCAGGCAGAGGGGGCAGGAATTCAGACCACGGGTCAAGTCTGCCGTGGCTCTGACTGGACTCCATCGCTCAACTGGCCACTCTCCACATGGGGCTGGTGGGGGGTCCAGCGTGGCTCCCCTGAGCAGCTAGCGTAAACACACTAATGGCCCTGAGAGAGCCAGGGAGGAATGCGGGCCCCATAGCCCCTGGGGACTGGGGGTGGGAGTGGGGCAACAAGACACCCAAGACTCAGTCAGCCCCTGCTCTGCAGGGGGGCAAGGGGGAAGCAAGGGAGAAGGCGGAGGTGAGAGGAGGAGAAGGACAACCTCAGGATGGGAAGGAGCTCACCGGCCATGCTGAATTCTGGCTCCTCCCTGACCCTTTGCTTGGGTCCCCAGGCCTTGGAGGCCCTGCCCTTCACTCCTAGGAAAGAGGCAGGAAGAGGCTGTCGGATCTGCAGCCCAGCTATTTTCTGCGGCCCTGGACATGGCCCAGCACACTCCGAGTCCAGTTTCATGAAATGGCAATCACGGCTGTATGTACCCATGGGGCTGCCACCCTGACTACTTAACAAGGAAATACCCCGACCTAAGAGTTCCCCAGGAACTGGACTCACAGAGGGACATCTCTGAGTGCTGAGGTCCTTGTCTGCGGTCTCTCTGAAGGCCAGCACAGGTCTCGTGGTCATGCCACCCAGCACTCTGTCACACGTCTAATACGCCTAGGTGACCCATCATGTGGCTGCGTGAGTAGTTACAGGGAGCCCCAAGCGACAGTTTGTATGGACTAAGGATGGGGAGTTCGGGGAAGCGTCCCACCTGCCTTCCCCTTCCTGAATGTCCCTTTACAGCCCTTCTCCAGAATCAGGCCTGGCAGGCTTGCTTGGTGTTGAGCTGACAGCCATATTCACCTACCTGGAAGCTTGGCACATGGGGAGATTACTGTATATGTCCTCAGGTGTCTGAGGAGCAGAAGAATTGACCCGAGGGCCATCTCAGTAGCTCCAGGACTTGGGTCACCATAGTCACACTCCACAGAGCCCAGAACACGGCAAGAACATGGCCAGAACAGGGCCAGTAGGGACAAGGTCCTTTGGGGTGGTGAGGAGGGAGCAGGGCTCAAGGCGGTGGAGAACAAGTCTGATGCATGATTTTTAAGACAGGAAATCCCTCCCACCTCAATGTCTTTCCCATCTGCTTCAGGAATCTCACTGGCAGAAGACAGTCCCCTCGACCCCTGCTCAGAGCAAAGTCATCAGAGAAGCAACCCAACCTAGCAATTGGAGAAGATTCCAGCGTACAGCAGGTAACAGCTCAGGCACGAGCAAGGCCTAAGTTTGAACTGTGGCTCTGCCACTCACTCGGCAGATATTTTAAGCTCCCTAAACCTCAGTTTTTTGGTCTGCGAAGTGGGAGTTGTAGTTCTTACTCTGAAGAGTGTTTGTGAAGATAAAAAGGAATTTCACAGGGGTGTGGAAGAAAAGCAAGCTCATCTCCATAGAAGAATGCCAACTAATAAGGAGAAGAGGTGGTGGAATTAGAGAATCAGCACTTTTGGGGGATCTGGGCAAGGGTTACCAGTGGGTGCTGCCGCTATTGGGTAAAACGTTGTTGGGCAACAGGATCTTCCCACGGTCTCAAAGCACCGCCCAGGGGGTGAGTCATGGGCCACAAAGGGAAGAGGTGGCTTTCCACTGGGACAACCTGGCAGAAACTACCTTAACCAAGCAATGAAATCCAAGATCACCAATGGGAGGACAAAGTGACATTCAGTGGCCATATGCACGGGTAAGGACACTCAGGCAGCTTCTTGGAATTTTAGGAAACATTCAGACAACCTCAGCTGAGAGACGTTCTGTACGACATTTGCCTTGAGCTCATTCAACTACCAATAAAGTAAAGAGAGGCTCCTCTGGACTACGGCAGGGACATCACAGCAGAATGCAATGCCTGATTTTTGCGTGGATCCTGGACCAAGGGGAAAAATATCATAAAAGACATTTTTTAAAAAAAATTTTTGAGACAGGGCTTCATTATGTGGTCCAGGCTGGCCTCTAACTCACAGTGCTCCTCCTGCCTCAGCCTCTCAAGTGCTGGGATTAGACCAGACCCAGGTCACACATAACATTTTGAGGGGGAAGTGGGGAGGTATGAGGATGGATGGTATTGCAGATAGTGCATCAGTGTTAAAACTCCAGGATGTCCTTGTGTTTAGGGCATCATGCTACCCAGTGCATTGCCAATGTCTGCAAAGGTCTCGTAAGTGGTTCACAAAATAAATATGGAGAGATACTCTGTGTGCAAATATGGCTAAACGCTTTTTAAAGGGGGATTCCATGGGTGGAAACCGGCCTAGTGATTGTCTCAACAAGCCCTGATCCCCCAGGAAGAGTGGCAGCTCGAGCAGCTGAAGGTGGAGAGGCCCGAGGGCCTGTTTGAGAACCGGTTTACCGTTTGTAGGAGGGAGCAGAAAAGCTCTAACGGGTGGGGGAGGCTGAAGGTGGTGTAGGACAGAAAGAGCAAGGGAGGCCAAAGACCTCAGCCTGCTGCACTGTGGCCTTTAGTTCTTTACCTAACCGTCCCACGCGGCAGCCTCCCTCTTGTGAAAGAGAAGAGGGGGCACCGCCTGTGAGGCTCAAGGGAGAAGGCAGGTGAGAAATCCCTTGGTAAGGGGGAAGCTGCCGCCCCCTGTGGAGATGAGCATCTGTCACTGCTCAGAGCCAGCTGGAGTCCAGGTCCAGGGACACTGGGCCCCAGAAACATGTTAGGACTGGGATGAAGAGGGGAAAGAAGGTACCCCCAGGGCTGTTTCCTTTCCTGAGGACCCCAAGTAAGGAAATGTGGCCTCCAGCAGGGCTGCAGAGTTGAGAACAGAGAAACTATGGGCTGAGAAATAAGCACTGTCTGGTATTCTTTTTCAGAAAAGAGCCCCTTGTCCCAGATCCCCAGAAGCTGTGGCACCCCAGAGCATGCTGGGAAGGCAGTGTGGCAGGAGAAGGGACTTGGGGGTTGACTTCTCCTGCCAGACCCTCCGTCTCTGAAGGCTTCTGCTTTGCCTCATCCAACCTCCACCCATCCCCCATTATTGGCCACAGGGTGAGGGCTCTAGAAATACTTGTCAGTTCCAGGGGACACCCAGGTTCCAATCTGATCTTGATGTGTCGCCTGAGATAGATTACATCCATTTGCCCAGAATCCACAAAGTGGAGTAACCTTTCCCTGACTTACCTGCACCTGAGGAGACATAGCCATGTGGAGAGGAAGAACTCACACTTTGGAATCCAGAAGATCTGTGTTCAGATCCTGGCACATCTGCTTGCTAGTGGCAATCAGCAGCCTAGCTGTCTTTCCTTAGCCATTCTACTTGCAGTGTCCAGCATGCAAGGTCATTGCAATAAATCAACACCAAATAAGTAAAAATAACTGGCACGTAGTTTTTTATTGGCTGTCTTTCCACCACCAGGCCGTCAGTCCCACTTGGCCTTAGACATTGCTGTACCCCCGCACCCAGGAGGGTGCCTGGCATTTGACAGGAACATCACGAATAATCATGGATGGACGAGTGGGCCCTGGACACCTGATAGCTGCCTTTGTAATTCTGAAGTGTGCTGGGACGAAAAGCCATGGAAGTTCGTGGTTTGGGGGAAAGGAAACTTTGTAAAGCAAGAAATAAAACTTCAAGGCTAGCATGGGTCTGTCTGTCCATCTGTCTGCCAGGCAATAGAGGATTCTGGGGCCCCTGGGGTTAACTAGAGCAGGAGGCAGACTCTGTGTGCCCAGGACAGCCCTGCAAGGACATCCATGAGTGTGGAGGCCTGGGGCAGGGGGCATTTGGTAAATTGGAGACCCCCCCATGCATCCTATCCCTTGCACTGGCTTACTGCAGCCAGTTGGGAGAGAAGGCCCAGTTTATCAGTGGGGCTGATTTTTCAAGGAAAAAGACAACAGCACAGAAATCCAGTGGGAAACAATATATCCTAAAAACGAAAATTTCAAATAAGAGCAAATAAAACTCCTCTGGAGGGGCCCAGTGATGCAGCCCAGCCTTCTTGGGTGATGTAACAAAAGAGCCCCTGGGAAGGACTTCTATGGCCTCGCCAGGCCTCTCAGGCACTTCTAGGCCCAGAAATGGGGCTCCGTTTGGAAATACTGAGATGCCGTCCAGACTCCGAGGGCAGGAATCACACAATGAGGAAAGAAGCCGCTTCCCTGAGTTCTGGGGCTTGGGCTGCTGTTTAGGCTTTGGCTCCCAGCCTCAAGGTAAGTCAGCTCCCCCAGTGGCCAGGTCCGTGTAGACATTCCGGAAATCTTCGTGGAACAGTTCCCTGCTGTGTGACTTTGAGCACAGACCTCCCTCTCTGGGCCTCATCTCAAAGATGGGTACAGGAATGTAGCCGCAACCACCTCCCAAGGATAATGGAGAAATCAATCGAGAGATTAAAGAGATAAAAGTGTTTCTAAAAAGGGAAAGTGCTTTACAAATGCCAGGTGTGGTCATCCATGCTTTCATTATTATTACCAGCAAAATATTCTTGCCAGCGCTACAGAAGTGGGCCTGGGACCCAGCGGAGCAAAGACTCTACAAAGGCTTCACAAGGAGGATCCAGATCAAGCCGGCAGGGCATATCACAAAGGAGAAACGCGCTCACCAGTTCCAAGATAGACCGGGGACGCTGAGCTAATGCGACCTCCTCCAGCCACCTGGCATCTGACTCAGTGGGGGCCCCAGCCAGGCCACGCTGTGTTTCCCCAGACAGAAAGCTTCTGGGGAAACACAGACTCCACATGTGCTGCCTGTGAGACAGAAACTATATAAATAACATAAATACTTTCCCATATATCTTAGCTATATAAATATTCTCTTTTGCCCTAAGAACTATATATGTGAGGTAGACAAAAATACCCTGTGAGCATTGCCCTTAAAGCTGCAGAATGAGGGGTTATTGGTCACTCTGGTCCCCAGGAGTCCCGGAAGGGCTAAGGTGGATTTTTAGGGGTAACGAGGAGGGAAAGAGCTGCAAACAAGGAGAAAAAGGGAGAGGGAGGGCTGGATGAACAGGACCCCCCCACAAGCCGAGGGGTCAGGGACCTGGGTGTCAGTGTCAGTGGCCAGCCATGACCTTGGTCATCCGGGTTTACCCCTTATCCTCCTGCAACCCCAGCCCTAACAGCCATTGAGTTTGGTGCAGATGGAGTGGTGGTAGATTAGGGCGCCCTGGCCCCTGAGTGGCTCCCAAGTCCCTCCTCCCGCCAGTGCAGCCCAGGGCTGAGCCACGGTAGAAGCAGTGCTGGAGTCACAGAGGGAAGATGGATCCCACTGGCAGAGAACGAGTCTCCGTGCAGAGAGGAGAAATAGAACGAAGTTAGAAAACCAGGCTAACACACTCTTCTCTCCTTCTGCCAAGACATGGGCCAGCTGCCAGGGTCAGCAAAATCGTTCTAGCGAGGGGTGTGAAGTCGTTTTGGCTTCGCATCCGTGCCTCCACCATCAAAGGTCCTTCCAGCATCCCCGGACTGCCTCGAGTCCCCGAAGACAGAGTGGCTCCTCTGGCTGTGAAGGTCTCAGGGAGGCTGTTGGGCCTCTGGCCTTCTTCCTGGAGCTGGACTTCCCAAGAGTTCTGTGCACTCGGCTGATTCTGGATTTCCTGTTTCAGCGGAGGGTCAGCAGCCCCAGGTTCAGGGAGAAAGGAAGCGTACAAGAGGGCGCGGCAGGCCAGCCAAGCAGCTACAAGCTTCCCGAAGGAGGTCACTTCCTCCCTGCTGGCCTCGGGCCCTGCTCTTGGGAAGCACATAGGCTCCAGCAAACCAGCCGCTGCAAGAGCTTTGTCCTGGGCCAGAGATGTGCGCTGTTCCCTGGAAACCACCCACCCACCTGGTCCCAGTGGGGCAGGCATCTGTGTGCGCCGATAAATGGATGCAGTCTCTCTCCTCCTTCCACTCGGCGCCTTGGAAGGTGGTACTGCAAATGTCTACAGGTCCACAGAAGTTAGCAAAGTCACTTCTATTACACAGGCAGGGGCCCAAGTAAGGGGCCATTATTAAAGAGGCCACCGAGGAGCCAGGCTTAGTAAAGACTACCAGGACAAAGGCCTGAATTAGACAAGCAGCTGGGAGAACAGACATGTAACCAGAACCGCAGATCATGAGTCCAAGTCCTTCTGCAATGCAAATATCAGCAGCTGTGGGGGCTCCCAGCCCAGGGGGACCACAGCCACAGGGGTTGGCCAGAACACACGCCAGCGCAAGCTGGAACACTGAGCTCGTGCATCCCTGCTGGCACCAGGTGGCTGTCACCCTCTTCCTTTGGGCTCCCATCAAAGTTTCCTTTGCCCACCAGGGAAGTGGGGAGGGTGCCCAGCTGCAGGTTCACTGTTGTGTCCCACTCTGGCCACTCGCTGTCCCACTTTCCTCATCTGCCTTGGAAGCCTCTTTGAACAGAGCTGGGTAGCTGTGAGAAATTCAGCTACGCAGACAGGAATGAGGTCTCAGCACAGCTAGGTCTGAAAAATCAAATTAAGGACGCGAGACTTGAGGGCATGGATCTCACTTGGTTTCACTAAACCCAGAAAGATTTCCTTGCTCCTAGCACCACCGCCAGAGCAGTGTGAGTGCATGGCACCCAGAGCTCGTGGCAATCTGAGCAGGGCTGGACCGACCCATCTTGGCTGGGTGCCTACCTAGGCTTGCAGCTGGCACTGTCTCTCCTGCCTCCTCCCAGCAGCTTGCTGGCTCCAGGCCATGCATCCCAGGAATGGGAGATGGCAGAACACCCCTCCCTCGCTGCACTGCCTCACTCCGGCCCTCCTTTAGGTCTCCTTTATTCCCTCCATATCCCTTCCCAGCCTGCGCTCCTGGTCCAAATCTTCCACAAGGTTAGAGACCCTCGGATTCAGGGCAGGACCCTTCGCTGAGTTTGCTGAGTCCTGTGGGAGACAAGAAGCTGGCTGAGAGTAGAGTGGGGACAGAAAAGTGAGGAGTGGCACACGTATGTTCGCAGGCATGTCCATCTGTGTCCACATGCACACTGTGTGTACCTGCCCCACAGGGCCACCAAGGTCCCAGCGGCACGGGCCGGCTCACCGTGCAGTGCCTAGCGCTTGCAGGTGTACACAAGCTCCTGCTGCACGCACTGCTGGCACTCCACGTAGCAGCACCACTGAACCTGGCAGTGGCAAGAGAAGGCCACCAGGCGGCTCTGGGTGTCGTAACCACGCCCACAGCACAGGCTGCTGCAGCTGGCCTCCCGGGAGCACACCCTGCCCGCTGTGCCCGGAGAATACTTGCTAGGCCGGCAGAAGCTCGGGGAGTCCTCCATGTAGACCAAGTCCCCAGGCCGTGGTGCCAGGCCTTTGGCAGGGCCACCTGGCTTGGCAGGTGCCCACAGCTCCAGGTGGCCCAAAGCCTCGTTGGTAGCACTGGACACCTTGACAGCCGAGTCATAGCGCAGCTTTAGCACCTGGCCTGTCTCGCGGAAGGGGGAGAGCTGCTTCCAGCAGGTGCGCACAGCACAGGATCCTGACACCCCATGGCACTTGCAGGTGGTCCTGAGGCCGCTCTTCACAGCCTGCAGAGAGACGCAGATGGAGGCCCGGTCAGGGGTCCAAGTGAGAGTGGCAGCGTGGCAGAGAGCATCGCGAGAAGTAGACGTGAAGGGTGTGTGAGAGCGACAAACAGCACCTTAAGTGGCCCATGAGGTGCCTTCAGGCAAACCAGTAAAAGGCTCTCCTTGCTCTGGGGAGTGCATGCTGTGGTGAGGGCGTGTGAGCAGACCTCAGTCCTAGCTCCTCCCTCGGCCCAGGGTGCTTGTGGAATATACAGCCTGCACAACCGAACAGAGCAGCCCCGATTTACGCAACTCAGTGATGACACAAAAACACAGAATGCCATTTCCTAAACAATTTCAGTAGGGTGTGGTAGCACGTGTCTGTAATCCCAGCTGCTTGGGAGCCTGAGGCAGGAGGATCGCAAGTGTGGTCCCGGGCAACTTAGCAAGATTGTCTCAAAAAAAAATTAAAAGCACTGGGGATGTAGCTCCTGGGTAGAGAGCCCCAGGCTTTGATCTCCAGGAGCACAGGCTCTCCCTTCCTCACCCCAGTAGATCTAGGTACTTGTTACTAGCAGTTTACCCACTACTAGTCCTCAGTAGGGACCTCAGTTAAGTCCCTGTCCTCTCTGGGTCTCCTCCGTCTTCCTATCCAAAACATTCCGGCAGGTCAGAGGTTGCCCGGATCAAAGTTGTTTGAACAACGTTGGCTTCATCCTTGGAAGGGACACTCTTCTCTAAACATGACCCTGCTTTACCAAAACAGGTCCCAAGCCTGGTCCCACGGCTACCCAGCCAGCATTGCTGCCCATGACCCTTCCTTACTTTCTCGTACTTACGGTACACAGTCATGGCCCAGACTGGATGCCCAGCGGATGCCAGTTGAAGGAATAAAATTCATCCCGGAATGGGTGTACGTGTTCATATGGGGCGCTGGCCTCCTACAGACCTTGCTCCCCATCTCCACACCCCACCCAGGGGCAGTGCTTTGGGTCTCCAGAGAACGTGCTCACCTTGATGCCCACGTGGGTGTTGTGGGCGTCGGCCCGAGCCCGCAGGTCCTTGCTGCCTCTCTTGGGCCCCAGGAAATTGCTCAGGAATTTGGTGCTATACTTGAGGTTGTCACCGCACACACCCCACTGCCAGGCCTGCCGGCTTTCCAGGCCCGGGGAGTCATCACAGGTGCAGCGCTCCATGCGCCCAGCACTGCAGGCCCGGGCCAGCGCATGGGTGAGGGCGGCCGCGGACACCGCGTACAGGAAGGCAGTCTCCTTGAAACCTGTGCCAGGCACCAGGGTGCAGGCCGGGAGAGAGAGGCAGTTCAGAGGCTGTCGGAGGACAGGAGCGGGGCAGGGAGCATCATGGTAAGCCAGACGAGGGCAGTGTGGACATTTCTGGGTGAGCTTCCCTGTCACCTGCTGTTCAGCCTCAAGGGAACTCCCCAGTTCACTGAGGAGCAAGTGCCCGGGTTCCCAGGGGGCAGCCGGACAGCAGCCACTGACTCCAGTAACAGGTAAGAACTGAGATGCACCTGGGGAGGAGCCATGCTGGGGCCAAAGAGCCACCTTGAGTCCAAGCACATGTGTGAGAAGTTGGACCGACCCGTTTCTGAGGCTTCTGATCCCCTGAGCGATGCGCCATGGGCTTCCTGCGCTTCCCAATGTCTCTCGGGTCATTCTCTGCACCCACTGAGGAGCTGGCCCAGTGCCAGGGTGGCCTTGCGTCTCCTGCCTGCCCTGCCCTGGAATGAGCATCCCAGCCTCTTCTCGGACCATCACTACGCTTGCGCTGCTGGGGCGGCTCTCCCGGGCTCAGTCTCCCTCTGCTCTCCAGAATACCTGGGGGCTGGTGACTCTAAGAGGAAGCCAGCCACTTGCTCTGTCCAAACCCCTCCTACTGTGCAGACAGCCGGCCTAGAAGGTAGTTGGCTGCCCCTGTCACTGTCACTGTATTTTTGTGAAAATCTCCCGTTATAGCCCTTTCCTCCTGGCCATGCAGTGACACGATGACCTGCCTTCTCCCCTCCTGGACAGTGAACTTTCTGAGTGTAGCGAGCACTGTCCCTCCGCATCTGGCACTGCGAGCCTCTGCATATGCTCAGTGGGTGAGTGGGTGGAGGCCTGAAGGGATCTGGGAACCCGGGAGGGAGGCAGGGGGAGGAAGGGCAAGGGGGAACGACAGCAAATCTAAGCAGCAGAGAGACAGAAGGATGGTAAAGGCAGGAACCAGATGGCCTTGTGCATCTCGGCCAGTTATTAGTGGCCTCCATCCTTAGTGTTCCTGAGCACTGTCTTCAGTGTGTACAGCAGGCACAGGGAGGCTGCCGGCACCTCGGCCTCATCTACGGGCTCCTCCAGGAGTGGCCCATGTCCCCTCCTTTCTGTGTCTTCTCTGCTCAGCTGTTCCCCCAACTCTTAGGCTGGGCCATGGATGGCCTTCAAGAGACCTTCACAACCCGCCAGGACTCTTCTCACTTAGGGCTGGGCCCAGGGAGCAAGGGAGACGTGGCCTCCTCCTCCCACCCTCCCCAGGCCCCCCAGCAGTCTTCCCACCTCTCTTGAGCAGGCCAGTCCTTCCCTCCAGGCTGCAATTCCAGCGCTCCTGCCGGAACTGGAACTGACACTCGATCAGGCCAAGGTGTGCTGCGTCCCGCAGGGTCTCAGCCAGGCCAGGTTCCCGCCTGCACAGCTGCTTCTGCCGGCGGGACAGCTTCAGCAGGTCACACTGCTTCAGGTGGGCACTGCCCTGCGTTGGGGCTGCCTCGGTGCCCAGCCCTGGGAAGGACGTTAGGACCTCCCTCCCGGTCAAGCTGGAGAGGATGAGAAAAGCAAGCATGAGCCGTGGGGGTGCTGGCAGGGGACAGTCCACGGGAATGTGAGCTGAAGGGACCTTCTTGGGATCTTCACGTATTGTCCTTTTGGGTCGTGGTCTCACAGAGAAGGAGATCAAGGTGCTAGTAAGAACTGGTGCAGAACCTTAAATTCAGACTTCCCAAGATCCAGTTTCTACTCTTCTTCCCCAAACTCCCCAGTTAGAAAAATCACTGGGTGCTTAAAAAAAATACAGATTCCCAGGACCCACACTTGGCATTTCTCGCCCCACTGGTCTGAGAGGGCCTGGGAATCTGTCGGCCACATTCCCTGGGTAGCTGCTACAATCCAGGAAGTCTGGGAAACATTGCAGAGTTCTGGCTGTTGCCTACGACAGCCACCTTCCTAAGAGAGGTGGGCACAAGTGACACAGATTCAGAGCAGACACCCAGCCGAAGTCCCCCAGAATCTTCTCTCCTTGCACTGTGTTGCTGCCCAAGTAACTGTGGGCCAACCGAGCTTGTTTCCTGAATCCCAGTAGCTCCCCAGCCACCTGGCCATTTGGTGCCTGGAACAAAGAGACATTTGAGGAATGGAAAGAAAGCAAAAGGAAGGGAAAGAAGAAAGAGGGAAGGAGGGAAGAAGGAGGAAGAAGGAAAGTCAGGCTGACAGATGGTTGGATGAAGGTGAATCTCAGATTCTCGTTCTGTAACCAAAGTCCATTGGTTCCAGAGTCGGACTGACCAATTCTGAACCTGACGTACCACTTCCTAGCTGTGCAACCTTGAGGTCTTGGTTTTCTCCTCCACACAGTAGAAAGAGTGAACTCCCTACCTCTCAGGGTTTCCATGAAGATTACAGGAAAGGTAAAAACCATAGCACCCAGGACGTGCCGGCTTTCCTTCCTGCTAGCTGGAGCTTCTCCAACGGCTCTCTTGCAAGATGCCTTACTCTAACTAGGCAGAGTCTCCCTTCGTGCAGATGAGGACGCTGAGGTTTTATGAGGAGGCACTGCCTGGCTCAGGTGCAACCAAAAAGCAGTAAGGGAGGATCTTGAATCAGGGACTTGCTGTCCTCCCAGAAGCTCTCTGTGACATGCAGTGTAGTTCGAGATGTTTGCTATCTCCTGCCCTGGTGCCTCCCCGTGTGGATGGAGTATATACCATTCCAGGACCCAGGCTGGAGGAAGCAGCCCCTTTCTGCAATATGCCAGCCTCATAGCCAGGATAAAGAGCAAAGGTGGAACCGGACAACAGCTCCTAAAGCTCTTGGTTGGATGTGGCACTTGCCACATCTGCTTACGGGCTCCTGGCCAAAGTAAGCCCTGAGCCCTCAGAGAGAGCTTTCCCGCTGAGCCGAGTACCCTGCTCTCCCGTTTGGAGTCACCTGCCTTAGCCAAGAAACTTGGCTGGATGCCACATCCTCCCTGTCTGGCAGAGTAGGAAGCCTCACTGGAGGGTGTGGGTCCTGGCTGGGCCCCAGGTGCCCCTGTAGATTCTAAACCCATCAGGTGCAGCCAACCCAGTGTGGAACATATCTCTGAAACCTCTGAACAGAGGCAGATGCTATCGGGCTCCTCCTGGCCCAGCCCGGCCCTGGGCTCCCCAGCTAGACAGGGTGAGGGCAGGGGCCCGTTAATCATTAATCTGGGGGCAAATGGGTAAATTTCCAGTCCACCAAGCCTACACTCAAACCCCTCCCTGCAGCCTGGCAGGAAATCCTCAGAGCTTGACCCTTGGCAGGTCTGGAGCAGAACCTGAGGTCAGCTCCAGCTGAGGAGGCCCCACCTTAACTGGTCTCCAGCCTGGAGGGCAGCTCAGAGATACAGGAGCAAAGAGGACAGCAGGCATGTGGGCTACTCCAGTGTCCTCCCCACACGAGGGCTGGTGGGGAGGGCAACTTTTGCTCATACAATTTCTGTGTGTTGGAAATCGAGACCTTACTTATAAAAGCTGACTGACAAAGCAGGAAACAACCAGGGAGTGATGAGAAATTTAGCCTGTGGGACTGAGCATCCTTCAAGGCTTCAAGGCCTGTCTCAAATGCCATTTCAGGAATAATAGCTATAGGGGCTGGGGATTTAGCTCAGCGGCACAGCGCCTGCCTGGCAAGAGCAAGGTCATGAGTTCGATTTCCGGTACTGGAAAAAAAAAAAAAAAACAATAATAGCTATATAGCTAGGTGTGGTGCCACACCCCTGTAATCCCAGCACTTGGGAGGCTGAGGCAGGAGGATAGCTGTGAGTTTGAGGCCAGCCTGGGCTACACAGAGAGTTTGAAACCAGAATGAACTGCAGTGAGATACTATCTCAAAAAAAAAGCAACGCCAGGTGTGGTGGTGCACGCCTGTAATCCCAGCACTCAGGAGGCTGAGGCAGGAGGATCATTGTGAGTTCGAGGCCAGCCTAGGCTACAAAGTGAGCTCAAGGCCAGCCTGAACTGCATAGTGAGACCTTGTCTCAAAAAGACAAAAAAAAAAAAAAAAAGGCAACAAGAACAACAACAAAAATAATAGCCATAATTATCATTATAGAAATATTCTGTCATATAACATTACATATTTATTATGTGTGGTGATATATATGCATACCTACCACTTTTTCAGTGCCTATTGCTGAGCCCTTTAAATTAGTATTGCTGCCTACTTGTTTCTTCTATCTATATGACTATCATGTGGTCTCTGCAGGCCATTTTATGTCACATGACCTTGCTGTGCTAGTCTGTTGATTGGATCAAAGATAATCACATGACCTGAGCTTGGCCAATCAATCTTTTCTCTGGAAACCTGGAATTTGAGTTAAGAGAGCATGCAGTTGCTTTGTCTCCCGTTCTGTGTTTGGGTGACTGCACTCAATAACAGAGGAAGCTGACCCAAACAGAAGGGAAAGGACTGAACCAAATGCGCTGAGAGAAGGAGAGGTGAGAGTAGGAGGGAGATTTGGGGAAACATTCTGGGCTTCGGGCCTAGAGTTCTCCTGAGGTCTAGCTGTGTTCTTCCTGCCTGAGACAGCTGCCTACTGCATAGCAAAGGCTGGGAGCCGGTTTGTGGAACTGAGGTCATTGTCCTTGATCATATCCTTTTGCAGGCTGTAGAGGACCACAGTTCCCTAGGTTGTACTTGTAAGCCAGGCTCAGCAAAAACCCTTCCTCTTATCAACAGGCGCCTGATTTAAAATTTCATGTAACAGACCCTGAGATTGATGGCTCAGTATAAAGTCGGTTAATTTTATTAGCGATAATGACACTTAGCTGTGATTAATGGTCAGGAAAGGCAGCCAACCGCAGAGCACTCAAGCCGTGCTAGGCCCTGGTCTTTCCAGGGCTGCTCTCAAAGAAGATTCCCGGGCACTGTCTCACAGCTCCCTAAAGGCCTAGGGAAGACCGCCTGAGGGAACTTCCAGGGCCCGGTTTCCCTTTTATTTGTTTTCTATATTGCAGTTTGGGATCATACACCTTTGAAGAAATAGTACTATGACATCATGTTGAGAAAAATGACTTAACTGATTTCCTTGAGCAATGCTAGTGAATTCTATGCATGCCCAACCCAGAGGGAAGGCACTTCCTGGACCCCGAAAGAATTCTGGGCATTGCAGGTTCCAGCCCATTCCACCGACAGCAGGCATTTTCCCCCACCCCTGGAAGAAATCTGTCTCCAGCAGCCTAGACCCGAGGACTCCACCCTCCAGGCCTCGCTGAGAAATTTCCATCACCCACATGTTAGCCAAGCCCCAGGGTGGTAAGAAGGACATCTGATTATGAAGTTCAGATTCATCAGTCTGGGGGCTGGGGATTTAGCTCAGCGGCACAGTGCCTGCCTGGCAAGCACAAGGTCGTGAGTTCGATTCCCGGTACCAGAAAAAAACAAAAAACAAGAACAACAAAGAAAAAACAAAAAAACAAAACAAAAAAAAAACACCAAATTCATCAGTCTTATGAATCAGGCAAAACGGGTGTTTTCAAGAAGACACAACCCTGTGGTCAGTCACACTGTCAGCCACAGTCTGCATTCTCAACCAAACAGCAGACAGTGCACAATTTGTGAGCATATGCATGGGCCCTAGGGGCAGGGGACAGCAGTGCCTTAAGGCTTCTGCCTGACTCCAGTGCTTCTGGACTACGCGGGACCCCATTCATCAGTCTGTACCTGCTGGGGCCCGGCTGGTCGTCCCTGTCCCTCCCTTCCTTAAGCTCCCCAGGCTCACTCTGAGTTTGTTCGCCCATTAAGAAAGCAGTGGCCCCATCCTGGGACCAGCTGCCTTCGTCTCCCTTCCTGACCCTTCCAGCTCTGCCCCTCTGCTCTCTGCACCACCTCCCCATCCTCCCAGAGATGCCTTCTGGCGTTGACCTAGTGACATCCCCAACCACTTCCACCTTAAAATGGGAAAAGCCCCCGTGCTCTGGGCACACAGCGCCCCCTCCCTTCTCTGCCTCCTCCGGCCCTTCCTGCCCCTCCTCCCTCTTCCCTCTCACAGGATTGGCTAAAACCGCCTCAAGGGGCAGCCTTGGAAGAGGCAGAAGCAGGTACGCCGGGCGGAGGAAAGCCTCCAGGGAGCCTGCTCTGTCGCTGTTAGCAGGACCCAGGGGCCATCCAACCCCTACAGGAAATGTAGCTCGCTCCTCAGCGATCGTGTACCACCCGCTGGAATGTGGGGAACCCAGGATTGCATGTCCTCAAGGCTGTTCTGGCCCAGGACGCTGGTTCTAGGTCTTCCTTTGACTCAGAAGTGACCGCAGGGATATAACTCCCCACCACCACCACCGAGTCCGCTCACCTAACAAATACACACTGCCTGTAACACAGCATGATGGCAGCCAGCCTGCCTGAGTTCAAGTCCCACCTCCACCCTTGGCTTCTTACTGGGCAAGGCACTTTTTTTTCTCTTTGGTCTTTTTTTTGAGACAGGATCTCGCTATGCAGTTCAGGCCGGCCTTGAGCTCACTTTGTAGCCCAGGCTGGTCTTGAACTTGCAGCAATCCTCCTGCCTCAGCCTCCCGAGTGCTGAGATTACAGGCGTGTGCCACCACGGCTGGGCAAGGCAT